TAGTAAGAGATTACATACTCCTATTACTCCCTTTGTACACAGGGGGATATTGAGACACAGAGATTTAAGGAGCCTCACAAACTGTCCAAACATACACAGTTGGTAAACAGCAGAGGTGGGGTTTCTATCAGGCAGTTTTGACCCCAGGGCTCAAGTTCCTGTTAACCATCCTATCATATTTCCTTTCAATATATTTGCATTTACAGTCCTGATATAAAATATATTAAGATGGATTTATTTAAAGTTACAAAAGTATGTTGATTGGAATAAAATTATACATAACAAATTAAGTCAAAAGTATTGAGATGGTTTGAGGATATGGTGGACATTGTGATGTGCAAATCCAATGACTGAAGGGCAGTGTGCCTTGGAGGGTGATCTTGTGACCACCTGGGCCAGCATTCCCTAGAAGCTGCTTAAAAAGCCACATCTACTCAATCTCTGTGGGCTAAGTCCAAGAATCTGTATTTATAACAAACACCTCAGGGCATTCCTATATATCATGAAGCTGTGACACACCTGCTTCCCACGCCCCCAATTCCTACCCAGGTTTAGGACAAGTAACAACAACAACAGCTGATTACCTGGGTGTTGCACTGGGTTGTCACTCTTTTGGCCTCATGTCCAGGCGCCACTGGAGCTCCATCAGATCTTTCTGAGTTGTCTCATCTTAGTCACTGAGCACAGAAGAGAAGGGACAGAGAGCTACTGTCCAGGGAGCATCTTCTGTGTCCAGGCCTGTGCTGGGTTTGTACTTAACCCTAACAGTGAGGCCAGTGGGATTAGGCCCATTTTATCAGATAAAGAAACTGAAGGTGAAAGAGGACAAGGGACTTGGCAGGGGGAGGGGCCAGGAGTCAGACCCGGGCATGCAGGCTTCCCAGCTGAGCCCTTGCCATTGCACCTGCCCTCTGAGGCCAGCGTTCAGGGTCAGTGCATCCACGGGCCAGCTGCAAGGGGCCCGGGGCAGGGCAATGAGCTTGCGTTTGGAGAACTGCACAAACTCTTAGTGCTGGAATTTAAAGCAAAAAGAAAGCATTTAAGTCAAAGAAGTGTGTCTGTTCCTAACCGTACCCAGTGTTTGGTGAGAGGCACGGATATAGGATAGAATCACACTAAAATCTCCATCAAATCTTTTTTGAATTGTCTCATCTTAGTCAGTGAGCGCTCCAATTCCTAGTGTAACTTGGTGACTCTTGGGAGTCACTGTCACTGATTAGCTGTTGATTTTGAGCAAGCTACTTTAAATCTGTAACCCTCATTGTCCTTATCTATCGAAAGGCGACACCCCCATAGATCCAATATATGAGGCTTACTTGCAGCATTAAATAGGCTGACACATCAAGCACATCAAGCACCTGATACTCAATAAACAGTCACTGCCATCTCACATAGGTGACAATGTGCTGGTTGTTGCACAAGTAGCAGCACCCCAGGCCCCTGGAATCTTCAAATCAGTTGAATCGCACAATGAAGATACTTTTGTTCTCAAACTAATGTTTGCTTATTGGGATTGTTAACGTTTTCCTTATTTAAGAGGTAAAACTGCCCTACCAACTGCTGGTTGTAGGGGTAAAAGAAAAAAACACAGAGGCAGCAAGTGATTGGACCCCACATCCAGGCCGATGACGTGCTCACAGCATCTATAAAGACAGCCACAGTTAAGTAAATAACCAGACAGAGATGCTCAATTGAGAAAAGAAGAGTTACCAGTCATCCGCTAGTAAACTGGAGTCGCCAACACTTAAGTAGCTGTAGTATCTACCTGAGAACAGAGAAAGTGGAAAGTAAGAATGCCTTTGGGGCTCCACTTCCTTTAGATGTTTACTTTGTTGTAATATTTTAGTATTAGAATCCTTTATAATGATGAGTATATATTTCCCAATAATTACTCTGTGCTAGGTGCTATACCTGTAATGTACATATATTGTATTATCTCTCTTAATCCTCAACATTAAAAACTTTTAGTGAAATTTTCAGGATTTGGTGAAAACAAATCCTTCATCTTCTCAGTTAGCAGAGGAAGAGAAGAAAGCTCAGGGCAGCAGAGGATCTTGTCTCAGTTCTCACAGCTTCATGGAGAAGCTGGGATTTGAATCTAGGTCTGTCTCCTCCTAGGGACCATATTCTTTACTGCATTCCATTAAATAATAATAATATTCTTTATTTAGCACTTACTATGTGCTGGCCGTTACACAAATCACACTCATATCCTTTTTGAGTTGTTTTATCTTAGTCACTGAGCCCTGCAATACCTAGTATAATCTGGGTGCCTCACGAGAACTCAAGAACTAGTTATTGATGTCCTAAAAATGGCACAGTTTCCTAGCAATAAAGCACCTATTGGACAGGCACTGTACTAACAATAGCCATGCTGATAATAGCAACACCAATGACAATGGTGATTGAATTAGGGTTGTTGGTGGTCTGTTAGTCTGAATGATGAATTCTAGCTCCTGTTATGAGCACCCTTGAAACTCAGTGGACCCACAGTTAAACATTTATTTCCTGGTTTGATGCTAGTGGTATGGCTGTCTGGGGTGTTTCTTTTCCAAGTGGTGATTTGAGGATATAGTTGCTTCCATTTTGTGGCATTGTCTTCCTGACCAAGTAGCCTCCGAAGTTGCTAGGGAAGGGGGATAGTGTGGTGATAGCTCAATGTGTTTTATGACCCTGTTGGCCAGAATCCCACCAACCTGACTACGAAGGTGACTGAGAAATGTGGTCTTGCGTGTCTAGGAAAAAGAGGAAACGGGATTGCTTAGCATATAGCCAGCTTCTGTCACTTTGCAAGCTACAGAAGTAGACCCTGCCTAAGTTTCGAATTCACTGGAAGTTTACAGGGTAGCTGTCAGAATTGACAGAGGGTTGGGGAACCAGCCGGGGACCACGGGTGGCTGGGCAGCAGCAACCACAGCCAAGTTCAGCCTCAGGAGAAGGACTACTGGAATATTCCACCAGCTCTGTGGACAACGCCTCCCACTCCAGCTCTTGCTGGGCTTTTGATACCACTGCTACCATGAAATGTGTCTAACTCCTTCCTGCAGCTTTGTGTCAGCATCACAGCTCCAGACAGACTGTCACCACGCCCTTCCCAGTGTCTGAGATTCAAGGGGATAGATCAAGTATAATCTTTCTCCATAGGCTTCCAAAGTGGGAGGTGATTTGAGATGTCCTGATACTCATGAAATTCTCCCCAAATAGGTGGGGTTGATTGCTGAGAAGAAAAGAGAGCAAGAGAGCAAGAGAGAGGGAGAGAGAGCACAAACGCTTGCATGAGATAGATCTACTGTCTTTCATAGTCTGTTACAAATTTACAAAGGGCTTTTTTCTTGTCCAAATTTGCATGATGGAATCAAGGGCAGTTAATTGGTAGTAAGTGGTCAAGCCAGAGTGCATGAGGGACTTCACGTATCAATTTGCTTTTTTGTTTATTGATTCATTTATTCATTGAGCATAGAGGGCTGTCCGGAGAGTATCCAGCTATGTAATTTGCTCTTGTTATATTAACAATGGCTGGATACTTTCCGGACAGCCCTTGTATATTGTGTTCACTATGTGCTGGGGCTCTGTGCTGGGCTTCATGGACATGTTGGTGGCCATGACAAGGTTCTCATCCTAAAGGGAGTCTTACACTAGTGAGAGTCAAATGTGGGATCCAAGAGGCAGGAGCAGACAGACATAACAGCAGGCAGCCCAAGTCTGGGAACTGCACCAGGACAGGAATTGACAGATTATATGTTTGACCTGAATCTCAGGGAGGTGAGGTGACCTGCTCAAGTCTCACAATTAGTCAATCATTGACCAGGGACTCCAGATGACATCTTCATGTTCATGTTCAGAAACCTCTCTTCACCTGCAACAGCTCTGTGCAAAGCAGAGGGGGGAACAGTAGCTTAGGGAGATGGGGGGATCATAGGCTTTGGGGGTCCTGCATCTTCTACTTGCAAGCTTGGTGACATTGGCCTAGCATCACCTAACTTCCAAGCCTTAATCTTCCGTCTGTAAAATGTGGATGCTAATACTCACATCCCAGTGTCACTGTGGAGTCTAACAGACAAGAAATCTAAAGAATGCAAGTGCCCTTTATAATGCTAGACATAGTAGGTGCTCCATAAATAGTAGCTGCAGAGAAAGAAGTGTGAGATAGGGTCACTGCTTTCAAGGAACTTGCTCTTTACCTGGAAGGGAGTGGTATGGAGGATAGGGTGAGAGGTGAGATTTACCTGTGTGTGAAAGTGAAAGAATAAGTACAAATCCCTGTGAGTTTGGCTATACCTGCTCTCAGAATTCAGAGAAGAGAGAACACTGTGTGGGCAGGGGTCAAAGACTTTGTGCAAGGACCAGTGAGGTGGCCAGGGTGGGGGCTTTAGTTCTCTAACCAGGCTTCATGGGTTCATAGCTCAATTCCATCTCCCTTATCAGCTCTATGTTCTTGGGCAAGGCGATCTTATCCAATGTCATTAAGCCTCAGTCTCTTCTGCTTAAAACGGGGAGAACAGTGGTACCTACTCACTGGGTAGTTCTGAGAGTTAAATGACTGAATCCACAGAAAATGCTGGCACAGTGCCTGGCACTTAGCAATAGTGCCATGGATATTGTTACAGTGGAACTGAGCCTTGAACAATGAATATATAAACCCCACCTCATTGTAGTTGTTGCAAGGATTAAATGAGACGGTGTGTATTTGGAGTCCAGCACAGTGCCTGGAATATAGCGGGTATTCTTTCCTTGGATGTCCTTGCCCTCCAGTGGAAGGGCAATGCCTCGTATGTGCTTTTATCTCCCTTGGCCCTTAGCACAGCGTCTGGCTCATTAGTTGGAGCATGGAGAAGTCAGCTGGGAGGTTAACAGCAAGTTAACAGGTTAAAACAGGGACATTCTAAGAAGGGGACTAGCATAAGTGAAAACCTAACAGTGGAAAATTCACCAAAGAACTTCAGAATTCCTTTCATTCTTTGTAACGTTAATTAAGCTCTGTTTGTCTCCCCCTAGTGGCCACGGAAAGCAAACACAGCTCACTTCTTTGGGGAAGGTGTCGGCAGCTTAAGCAAGATCACATCGCTCACCTGAAGATCCTAAAGGTGTGCTTGGCCTGTGATTCAGCCCTGCAGAATGATTCATGACCTGTCTCAACTACAGTGACTTGCTCTTGGTGACATTTCCCAAGCAAACAGTGTCATAAGAACTAGCCTAGAAACTCAAGAAGGAGCTAGTTATTTCGTCTCTTTAATCTTCATCTATCCAAATCCTTTGAACTCTGCTTTTTGACGTCCTCCTTCAGGGACATTAGCAAGTATTCTCCTCTTTCCTGTGCCATTTTGGGCAATTAACCACACAACAATGACAATAACAACATTTCAGGTGCTATCTCTGTGGCGAGCCCTGTTCTAAGCTCTCTATGCATTTAACTCATTCAATCCCCCAGACAACCATATAGGTATTGTACTATTTTGAAACCAGTTTTTCAGAGAGGGAAACTGAGGCCCAGTGAGCATACATAACTTCTGCAGAGTGACATAGCTAGGATGGGCAGAGCCAGGTTTGAGACCCAAGCAACCTGGCTCCAGACACCAGGTTCTTAAGCCCTGTGCATCAGCCTCCCAGCCCATGTGCTCTGGTGACTCATCTTGGGCAGTTGCCTCGTATTACTGGACTTTTGGGGCATAGGACACCATTCTCACACTTTACCAACCATACAAATCATGGAGAGAAATGGCTTTTTGAAAGTACATTGTGCCCTCAGAGATCCTGCTCCAGGTGGTCTGGGGTGGGGCCCAGGAATCTGCATTGTTTGCAATGGTGCTCTCTGGTAGAGTGGAAAGAGCACAGGTTTTGGGACTCCATCTTCTGGTTACTAGTTCTTGGGTCTTACATGAATCACTTTTAGTTTTGCCGAGTCTGTACCACAGGTATAATGATTCCAACCTCAAAGTAGACATTGTGCAGGCTGAAATGAGATGATTTACGTCAGTGCCTAGAACACACAGGCATTCCTTACTTAGGTGCCCTTGCGCTCAAGCTGGGAGGCTGACAGCGAGGGTCTGTAATCACACATGCCATGGGAAAAATGGGACTTTTGGGGTCAGGAATGGACATTTTCTCCCTAGAGCAGCAGTGGTATAGTGACAAGAGTGTCATTGACTTGGCATGAGCTGTGGCACAGTGACTTCGCACCTCCGTTTCTCATGGCAGCAGTGTGGGTACCTGTTCCTTTCACAAAGGGTCGTGGGGAGAGCCCTCGCGTAAGGTTGCACTTGAGACTGCGATGTTTCCTTCTTCCTAGTACCATCCTTCTTACTCAGACCATTTCCACGTGGGGGCGCAGCGGAGTGTCAGTCAGGACAGGGGCTGAGTGTGCAGGTCCGAGAAGACGGGAACTGGAGCCTGACTTTCGGGAAGGCAGACCCTCAGGACGCGGCAGGGCAAGGCAGGGAATGGCTCTCGGAGGCTGCAAAGCCTTGTCCCAATTCTCCGTAGAAGGGAATGTGTCAGTTCTGATGTAGAAGAGAGAGCGAGGACACCCAGGGAGGCTCTGGGACAATTCCGCTTGGCCCCTCGGGTTCATGTCTCTGTGGGATTGAGAGCTTCTATTCAAGGAGAGGGCAGGCACAGAGATGGCAGCTTGGCTCCTGTGTTGTCTCCACAAATGGGATCAATAACACTAGCTTATCTTTCACTTAACCCAGATCTCTCACTTCTGCTTTGAGCACTTTGGTATTTTCTCACTCTCTATCTGTGAAGCCCATATGTCTCATTGCTCACTGCGAGGACCTGAAATGCAGAAGCTGCCCGTGTTATAGACAACTGGGGAGCCCAGAGCACCTCCACAGCATCCTCTGAGTCTCCCCAGCAAGTGGAGCCTGGGAAGGCTGGCAGGGTTCACCTGGGCTGGCCACTCCTTCCAGGTGTGGCCCTGTGGTCTCTGCTCTGGGTTTCCAACCAACGTTTTCTTGCCTCTCTGCACTTGGTGCTCTGCCTGGGATGTTTTCTCCACTCTTCTCCTCTGGATAACTCCCATTTATCCATTAAGACCAACCTTACATGTCTCCCCTGAGAAATCTTTCCTGATTCTCCCTTTGGTTCCTTACCAGAATGCCTGTGTCCATCACTCTCGTGTTCCCACAGTACCTCAAACGTCTGTGATTCGGCACAGACTGCACAGTGTTGTCATTATCTGTCTCCGTCTCCCACCAGGCTGTGAGCCACTTGAGGGCAGGGATCATGTCATAGCTCCCATGTAGCCTGAGCATCCGCACGTGGGAGATGATTTGGGAATATATTTTTGCATGAATTATTCACAGTGTGGCTCGATTTCTGTCATGGGTCCTACTGTGCACCTGGGTCTCATGCCCGCGGGATTGCTGGTCTTTGGACTCCAGCTGCTAGAAGATTTTGTTCAATTATAACCTTGACAGAAGCTTGGACAGTCTCTACTCGAGTGTTGTGTGTGCTGGGAGTTGACATCGTTTTTCGTCCATCCCATTCTGTTGTATAATAACATGGTTATAAAGGCCATTTTGGCATATCCTTAGTAATGACAGCAAACTATTTATGTGAGTTAGAATTAGATTCAGTTGTAACAGAAAACCAAAATGACAGTGGCTTAAATAGATATTTATCCTCTCTCATGTAAATACCCATCAGCAACCCTGTCCAACACTGCTATGATGGTTCTGGGTTCTGGTCTACAAAGTCCACAGGGACCTGGGCCATTGTAACCTTCCATTATACTCTCCCTAGGGCTTACCTACTCTCCTCTTAGCCCGAGATGGAGCTTTATTAGTCTCATGCCCATTCCAAACACGGAGGGAGGTGGGCAGAAGGGGACAGAGTGGGTGGGCCATCTATCTCTAAAGAAGGTTCCCAGATTCAACAAGAACTACTGCAGGACATTTTGTGCACACCCCATTGGCAGAACATAGTCATATGACCACTTCTATTTGCAAGGACGTCTGGGAAATGTAGTCTTTATGCTGGGAGCAGTCAGGCTCCCAGCCATGGAAGGAGGAAATGAAATTGAAGAATATTAGCAGTCTTGGCTACAATATTTGCTTAGTGATTTAACATATCATTTTTATATCTGTAATCTGGGCTGATACTCATATGGAAGACAGGGTAAGTAGTCACAAAGACACACAAGGTGAGTAGCAGAGTCAGAACAGCTGAGAGGTGTTTCAATGCTGCACCCTTGCTGTTGTGTGCTTCCCACCCTGGGCTGAAGTTGGCTTCTTTTCAATTACCCACCAGTCCTAGTTGTGTCAGCTTGAGAAAAATGGAAGGAATACAGTCTTCCTGTTGGGTAGTAAGTGCCCCTCCCCCCAACAGGGCCATGCTGTATTCTGAATACTCTGCTCTTCAATGCCCCCACATGTGCCTGGGTGGCAAAGTACGCAATAAATGGTGGAATTGATAGATCACCGTGGAACCCCAATTCTTCTTGTTTAATAATTATAACAATGTATATTCCTGTAGCACATTATAGTTAGTCTTTGTATCTCTGTGGTTTCCAATCAGCTTCACAGTTTACGGAGGAATTTACAGTTCACCGAGCTGTGTTGTTGGGGAAGCCCTTTCTCTGGCACATGGGAAGGGGTTAAGACTTGATGAGGCACTTTCCAATGTGATGCCTCTTTAGTCATCACTGAACTTTTTAGAGTGTCTTAGTCCATTTAGTGTCACTATAAAGGAATACCTGAGGCTGGATAATTTATAAAGAAAAGAGGTTTACTTGGCTCATGGTTCTGCAGGCTGGAAGGTTCAAGACTGGGCACCTGCTGGGGGTCTCAGGGTCTCAGAAGGTGTGGAGGGGAGCTGGCATGTGCAGAGATAACGTGTGGAGAGGGGGAATGAAAGAGGGAGAGAAAAAGGGAGAGAGAGGAGGGAGGTGCCAGGCTCTTTTCAACAACAAGCTTTCATGAAAACTAATGAGTGAGAACTCACCCCTAAGGCAGGTCGTTAATCTATTCCTGAGGGATCCACCCCAATTACCCAAACACTTCCCATGAGGCCCCACCTCCAACTCTGGAGATCAAATATCAACATGAGGTTTGGGGGTACAAACATCCAAACTGTAGCACAGAGCTTGGGATATTACTCTTGTTTTAAGACGAGGAAACTGAAGTTGAAAGGGGCTGAATAACTTTCTGTAAAGGGTACAGTTGTGCTCAACCCTACCTAATGGACTTGGTCTTGGGGTTCTTCCATTCTTGATCACTCCTTAGGCATACAATGAATTACCAACATTTGCAAAGTGCTGTTTGGAAGACACCAAGGATTATCAATGTGATACCTGCTGTTCTTGGAGTCCCAGGAAAAGCCAATTGGAGATCCAATCAGTACTAGGGAGTGTGTGTGTGTGTTTGATTCCGAAGAGGGTGTCAGGGGGTCAAGCAGTTCCTTACTCCAATGGGGACCAGGGAGCTGGGAGGTGTGGAAGGTGCAAAAAAAGTGCGGGAAGAATAGAGGAAGGGTCCTATGTACCTTGAATACTTTTCTGCCTCCTTTTGCTAAGTTTCTTATATAACACTGGTGCAGAAGAGAAGTCACACCCATGGGAGTTCAAATCTTGGCTGTGCTACCTAATTCCTGGGCAAGTTACTTCCGCTATCTGTATCCATTTCCTAATCTTTGAAATCCTCCCCCCGAATAGAGTTGTTGCGAAGATTTAATGAGATTATATGTACTAATATATAATATATATTTTATATAATATTATATGTAATTATGTATATAACAAGTTCTAACCAAGTGTAAGCTATGATATTCATGATAAATATTTCAGAATAATTATACTATGAGAATTAAGGCACTTATAAGAAGAATGCAGTAGGTGCTTTAATGGTATTTACAAATATTATTTAAAAACTAATCATTATTTTATTGCCATTAATTTTATTAGGATGTTCAAAATTGAGATCATAGTAATTAGTGCAGATATTTCTCATATTAACCAGTAGGTGGCGCCCACGTTGTGTTTAAATTCTGAAAAAGCCTAAAAAAATACATACATATTCATATTTTCTATTTTTACGGGAAAAAGTAAGAAAAAAAAATCTTGCAAAAGACCATTGTCTGTGCCATG